TTGTACCAGAGACTACCTCTTCTCTCCTTCAACTCTTTCTCAATATCCCAATCCATACATAATGTTGACTAAACAAATGGAAATGCTTGGTGTTTACATAGCATAATTTTATCTCTACTTAAGCTAGTAAATGGTGAATTTGCCATGTCTCCATGATCACTTCTTCCCTGAGGTCTCTTTGGAATACCATATTAATAAAAAAAATCCATTTACCAGCACTCTACCTAGAGCCTCATGTCTCCAAAAATGAAACTAGTCAACATACCCTTGATATCAGCAGGGCTCGACAAATAATGCAATCTACTCGCCCATGGCAAGTAGATTGCAACCTGGAAGAGCTGGGTTCGGGCGATCTGTTCATGTGCAGAACGATCTGTGCGTGTGCAGATTGCCGGACAGTGTGGCTGGCGAGCGGGGTTCGCCGCAGTTCAGCGAGCCCTGGATTTCAGAATGGCTCTTGCCTTCTACCTTGACAGGACTAAGATATATTCAGGGCCTCCAGATTATTTGTATTATTTGCGGAGAGGGTAAGTGACAGTCTCTGTGAAAATAGGCTGTCCAAGTGGGTTTCACGGTGTATTTTAATCTGTTGTGAATCTACTGGGATGTAGACTCTCAGAGTTAATAGAACACACTATTAGGGCTTAGTCTACATCTGTAACTGCAACTGGTGACACAGTCCTCCTAAACATCTTAGACTTGCTTCTAGGGATGAAAGCGAGTAATCGAGTTGAGTACTTGACTATTCGCTTCCCCTCCCCACTGCACCTGTATCAAAGGCAGTAGCAGGGGTAGAAAGAGCAAGGGAGGCTGCCACGAAGCAGTCCATGTCCATGGCGGCCCAGGCTGGCCAAGAGCAGAGGCTGCTGTGGCAGCAGCCCCTATTTGTGGGGGTATAGACGTGTGCATGCTATGATAATGCACTCATAGGGACAAAAAAAAAATCTCAAAAATCAAAGCACAATTACGATATTCTAATGATCTTTTCAGGAAGAAAACATCAGGTCACAAAGCAGTAGACTGGATGGAGGATGGAGAAGTGCTGGTCTCAGTAATGACGGATGGCAGAAAAAGGAGCAATGGCCTTAAGTTACAGTGGGGGAGGTCTTCTAGGTTTGCTATTAGGAAAAACTATTTCACTAGGATGGTAGTGAAGTACTGGAATGGGTTACCTAGGTAGGTGGTGGAATCTCCATACCTAGAGGTTTTTAAGTCTCGGCTTGCAAAAGCCCTGGCTGGGTTGATTTAGTTGGGATTGGTCTTGCTTTGGGAAGGGGGCTGGACTTGATGACCTCCTGAGGTCTCTTCCAGCTCTATGATTCTATGACTTCTAGAATTTCTGCAGGATAATCTTGAGAGTTTCCAAAGAGAGCTTTCTGAAAGCCTAACTTATTAGCCATATGTGTCCTAGGAACAGCAAATGGTAAGACTACCTGGACATCAGAAGATTTTAGAGCTAGCGGAGTTACCTACATTCTTTTCATGTGTTCAGGGTTCTCCTCCGGCTTTTTGGAGTCCCCAGATGACCCTGGTCCTGCGTGTCATTTCTCCAGCTGATCCCGGGCTCCCTGTGGCATTTTCCCAGAACTTGGGGTCAGCTGGGACCCTGGGTTCTGAGGAAATGCTGCTTGGAACCCGGGGTTAGCTGGGGAGTCCCCAGCTGATCCCAGGCTCCACGGCCCTTTTATGTTTTAAAGGGGCAGCACTGCTGAGCCATGGATCAGCTGTGCGGAGCTGCCACTTTGAAGTACCCCTTTTCCTCTCTCCCCCTTTGATGCCTCTATCTCATAGAGGCAGCAAGGGGGGCGGGGAATCTACTAGTCTTTAATATCCCTAGTTCCCAGTGGCTGCACTTCACCATTCCCAGCCATTGGGGGCAATGGGAAGCAGCAGGCAGCACATCCCTGTGGTCCATGCTGCTTTCTGCTGCTCCTATTTGACTGGAATGGAGAACCACCGATGTTTAATGGAAAACTCTGGTAGCCCTCAAGTGATTTATCCTGATGGGGGGGCAGGCAATTGTAATCCCACTGGACTCAGCGAACTGGTCAAAATGTGTTGGTGGGCCCAGATGTGACGCACCAGCAAGGTTCCTTCTAAGCTGTGTGGCAGTATGGCTCTGCAGCTGCTTAATTTGCTGTGCCCTGCCAGAGTCTCAGGGACTGTCCCTACTGGCTGGGAGAAACTCACTGCTCTATCCTCCACAGGGAGATGCTGGTGTGGCTGAGGGAAAAGTGCCCCTCCCCCAGTCAGGAAGCTCCGTGTGCAAAGCTTCCATTAGCATTGGCCTCGTTTTATAGGCAGCGCATATAATGACACCTATGTTTTGAAGTTACTTATTACTACCCATTGCAAAACCATATAATGTTGTCACACTTTAACTGTTTCAGCTGGAATATTCCATACCAGCTGTCTGCTTGATTTTTTTTTTTTTTAAAGGGGAAAGGTGGGCAGGAATTTCCACAAAAATGGTTCAGCTGTTTACAAGAAATGCTAAGGGAAAATATATTCTACAGTGATAACAAATTTGTTGTAACGTTCTTTGAGAAACTCTAGTGTCTCCAACACAAAAATAGTGGGTGATCATGTAATTAGACTGTATCATAAATACATGCACACAGGGCAGTGGAATTAGAATTGTATGGGCAAACTTTATTCTATCATTTCCTAACTTGTGCATGTTTGACTTCATAGTATTTGTTCTTTTAATATACAGGCAGTCCCCGAGTTACGCGGCTCCGACTTATGTTGGATCCGCACTTACGAACGGGGCTTTCTCTGGGACCGCCCAGAGCGCAGCGGTCTCGCCACCTCGACCTCCAGGGCGAGAAAAGCTGCTCCGGGTGCCCCTGGTCTGCTGCGGACTGTCTCCAGCAGACCAGGGACACCTGGAGCAAAGCCGGGAGGGCGGAGGGGTCCCGCGCCTCCCCAGCTTTGCCATGGCAAAGCCTCAGAGGCACGGGACCCCTCCGCCTCCCCAGCTTTGCTCCAGGTGCCTCTGGTCTGCTGGGGACCAATCCCAGCAGACCAGGGGCAGCTTTTCTCGCCCTGGAGGTCGAGGTGGTGGGACCACTGCGCTCTGGGGGAGCGGGGGAGCAAGGCCGGGGAGCAGGGGGGCAGCGGACAGCCCAGATGCTCCGCGGCTGTCCTGCTGCTGGCGCGTTCCGCGGCTTTGCTCCCGGTCTCCCTGGTCTGCTGGAGACCAACAGAGCAGGGAGACGGGGAGAAAAGCGGAGCAAAGCTGCGGAGGACCTGGGCGGCGGGACCGCAGTGCGTCTTGGTTCCCCGCCCGCGTCTCCGGGGTCTGCTGGGGGGGGGAGAGGGCACAGCTAGTGTGGCGTCTCCCTGGTCTGCTGGGGTGGGGGGGGCGCAGCTAGTACGCCTCCCCCCCCCAGCAGACTAGGCTTTTCTCTGGACGCCTGTGGCAGAGCAGCTGGGGCACTGCCGGTTGGTCCCGCAGCGCCGCTCTGGGCGCTACTGGAGCAACCCAGCAGCACCCCAGCTGCTCTGCCCCAGGAGTCCCCAAGTCACCCGCTGCTGAAACTGACCAGCGCTGACTACAGGAAGCCCTAGGCAGAGTTGCTCTGTCCCAGGCTTCCTGGAATCAGCCGCTGATCAGTTTCAACAGGCTGAATCTGGATGCCAGTTCCGACTTACATACAGATTCAACTTAAGAACAAACCTACAGTCCCTATCTTGTATGTAACCCGGGGACTGCCTGTAGTTTTGTTTTATATAATGTGGATAGCTTCAAATCTCTTTAAACACTTACTGCTAAATTACTTCAGTCAATTGGGGAGGAGGGGGGAAGAGGCAAGTATTGGGAGAAATACTGCACATTTCCTTCCTTGGGCCTACCAGATGCCTTAATTGATTATCACAAACATATATACCGGCACATATGCATTTATCATGTATTACATAATGGTGCATTACAAGCATTTTTCTCTCACCTCTGCTCTTTATTTAGAAATTCTAGTTAATTGTTTAGGTATTGGTTCTCTAAAAAGATTTGACTAGTCTTCAATAGGATTCCATCCATGTGTCATCAGATGTTTTAAAGATTGTAGTTAAAATGTCTGACTTCAAAATTATTACTCCTCATAAAGTTTTTAAGGCCCACTCAATAGTGGCTATACAAGAGCATTTTGACTGGGCTTTAGTACACCCAACAGCACTAAAATGGTAGTTGATTATCACCAAGGCCTCGTATCTCCAATGACACTATGCCTAAATTTATGTACCACACCCTACATCTGTGAACCACATTTCCACTGTCAGCTCTCATTGCATAAAGAGGCCTCAGTCTTGTGCATCTAGCTGGCTGGGAGAGGAGAGACTGATTGCAGTTGCCATCCTGCATTTCATTTCTCTTCTGCTGTGACTTGAAGCATACTGTTTTCTATACTGAGCTTTTCAAGATCTCAAGAGTGAGGCAGAAGCTCTGACCCTCCATACTTCTCTGGTCTATTACAAGTCTTCCGCTCCCCTTAGTCCCTTCCCTCCTGTGGATCTGCCAAGGCCCATGGGAGGGAGGACCAGCTCTTCTGAACATTTTAGGGGTAAGACTCCATATATGCTGTATCATGTTGGGTCTAAAATCTGCAACAAGGCTCTGCTGTTTGGATTGGGATGTCAAGTATACAGATGCGTAATTCATAGTAAAGATTAAACTTTCGTGCATTTGTGCAGTTTTTTAAAAATACGGATTAAAAAAATGTATAATTTATATCTAACTTTGGGAACCAAACTTTTATTAGTATATATTTTTAAAAGGAATTTTCTATTTGTGCACATTGGTCTTGTATTCATAGTTGTCCTAGCCTTTAACTTTATATACACTTTGAATTATATCCTTCTTGATGCTAAAATATTTTCAGTATCCTCTTCTCCTATTGACATAATTAGAAGTAATAAAATATTTGGTAGTTTGAATCTTTATTATTTTAGTAAACAGCAGTGGTAACTTCTTCAGAGTTTTCATTTAATGTTTGTTATAGTTGGTGTATGAATTTTTCCTGAGATTTTTGGAGAGCCCAGATTTCCAGCCTAGTACTGCAAAGCGATACATTGATCAGAAATTTGTACAGCAGGTGAGTGTAACATTTTTATATTTAATACTTGGTTAACTCTTAACTGAAAGTGATGCTGTTGTAGTATTGGTTTGTATTTTGCAGATTTTGATAAAACTGGTTCTTTATATTGTAACATGAGAATCCTTTTTGTTTGCCAGCTGTTCTACTAGTAGAAGAATATCTACACAAACTACATGTAATCTGGAAATTCAGAAACTTATAAATCATAGAGATAATACTGAGTTTTGTTAAGAAAAAAATTGCAACGTACAATAGCTTCAATTTGTGGAATAAAATTTGAGTTTCATAACAATACATACGTTACTGTTTTCCAGTGAAATATAGATAATCCTCAGTGCTGACCTATTGTAATGACTTTTTCACTCTCACTACATGAGTTAATACTTGTGTGATCATTCTCAGGTCACCCAAGACTGATAGTTACATTGTTAACCCCAGGATGAGGGAGACTTGCTTGCCCATCTGGTTGTCGGTTCTCTAATAAAACATGATCAGCCTTTCAACTACTCAAAGATTCTTCTGGGCTCTGTCAGCCTTATCGTTACCTTGCATACTAACAAGAAATGTATCCTAGTCCTCTAGTTTTTTTTTTTGAAACATTCTCTTGTGATCTTCAGCACCTGATACTGGTTATTCACAAAAATCCTAGGTTCTCTACCTCAAAGTACCCCCAAAATATCTTAAACAGCAATGGTCCTATAGCACCTTAAAGACTAATAATAATGCACAAATAGTATTATGTGCTTTCGTGGGCACAACCCACTTCTTCAGATGACAAATATGGACCAAGGGGCACGAGTTCATTCATTTTCCTTAAAGCACAATTCCTTTATTATAACACACAGCACTTGTAATAAAACAGAAGATTTATTTAAGACAGAAAAGTGATTCTACTAGAAACAAGAGGCAGTGATGGAAATAGAGTACATGACAAAATAATAAAATGAAAACCTGGGTTTACATTTCATATTTATCTTTCCTATCTAAAAAATAGATTATCTCCCAAAGTTCAGTCTGTTGCAGAGCTGGCTACCTTCACAGGAACTAGGATTCATTTTTTAATAAGAACAGCCCCTGCTCCTCAAGATGTCTCCTCAATAAAAGAATCCAAAGTGTCTTGCCCTGCTCTTTGTTATGCTGAAATAGTGTTTTGTCTTTATTCATAGGCAGAGTAATTCTCTTTTTGTTTGTGTTCCTTTTTTATCTCCAGGTGGTTTTGATTCCTTGAATTTGTCTCTGATGGTTTCCCATTGACAGTCTTAAAATGGGACAAGGCTAGACAGTTGAGCCTTGCATTCCATCTGTGGCTAACCCAGGCAGGGTAGCAACTCTCTCCTGATCTAATGTTTACTCCATGTCCTGAAAGTATACTTCAATATAAATTCATTATACTTTAAATATTACCTGTATGTACACAGGATTTATGAATCTTGACAAGTATTGAATAAAAAACCAGTTAGTATAAACAAAAGCATAAATGTGAAATGTATCCTATTTGTTTTGAAATGAGAGGAATCAATTAGGACAGATAATTTTCTATTACCTACTGGTATCAGATCCAGACAAAATATTCCTAAATGCGATGGCTGTGAGATTTTTAGTTCTAGAGCTTTCT